CCGCCGCCCCGATTTCTGCTGCACGATCCCACCTCCCTCTTTAAAAATTCCGCCGAAAAAGAGAAGACGATTTTCCAAAGCTTTCGGGCCGTCGCCTCACGTGAGTACGGGCCGTCATGGGGGGGGCAGCTGCGGCTCTAACATGGCGGCGCGGGGGCGAACCGGGCCCCGGGGGCTGCGGAAGGGGCTCCGCGGCTGCCCCAACATGGCGGATCCCCGCGGAGGGCAGCCCCCTGCGTCCCGGCCCGCCGCACAGTGCCTCTGCCTGCCCCGCGGTTGTCTGCTGCGCGGGGCGGACAGCTCCGGCGGGCGGGCGGGGAGATCCTCCTCCGCCCCGCACTTGGGAGGGTTTCCCCGGGCGCTGCCTCCCCTGGGTGCGGGGCAGAGCGGATGCCCGGAGTGGGGCTGGTAGCGTAGCAGAGGCGTCTCTTTGCCCGTCTCTCAGAGGCCATGTTGTGTCTGATTGTGACTATCCATCCGGGGTTTGCTGGCTTGGTGTTGCACATCTCCTTCCTGCCCTGCCACGGAGCATCTGTGCCTGCTGGCGGCTGGGGTCTGTGTGGGTGCTGCCTTCGGGGGTCCTGATGCGGTTCTTGAAGCTGGTGGGAGAGGCCTGTGCTGCTGCTGGGGTGGGTCTGGATGCCCCATGGAGGCATGGGCACCCTGGCTTAACATGGAGGTGCCAGCAGAATGGGTCCAGGAAAGTCCAACCTCTATCCTCTCCCCTCTTGTTCAGCCATCTCCATTTTTTTGAGGTGAATGTCTCCCTCCCCTTTCCCAGTTGCCTCAAGGACACACGTTCTCCCCTGTCAGGATAACAGTAAGGCTGGCTGCTGCTGTCCGCCAGCTCTTCTGGAAGCCTCTTGGTTAAGCCCCAGCCATGCTGATTTGGTTGCCTGGAGGAGTCTGTGTGGCCTGATTGGTTATGTCCCTGTCAGTCACTGGTGGCTTGCGGAGAGTGTAGGAAGGAGGGTTGAGTCATTGCTGAGCTGCTGGCCTGATGCTGGCTGCTGCTGGTGTATCCGGAGTGATGTGTGATGTCTTTGTGCCGTGGTCCCACCGCGTGCTCCGTGGGAAGAGGCAGCCCAGTAGTCTGGGGGGGTCACAAGCTGTGCACAGAAACGGGCCATGGGGGAGGCAAGGGGGAGACATTGTGGAGATTGCAGCACCTTGCAATGACATACTGCAGAGGTGAAATAGTTAAGGATACAGTAGTGGCTTGTCAGCATCTTAAATTTTATTTGGATGGTAGTCTAGACCAACTCAGTAGTTGGAACAGAGGT